ACTGGGATTGCAAAGGCATGCCACCATATCCAACTTTTTATGTGAGGGCTGGTGATTGAGCTCAGGTATTCAGCATGTGTATACAACAAGGTAAAGTCCTAGCTACATTGTCTCTTAGATTTTAAATACTACAATGCTTAATTCAATGCAAATGACACATAGTTGCTTTATTGTGTGGTTTAGTAAATAATGACAAGAAAAGGGGCCTATGAATGCTCAGTACAGGTGAAACTTTCATAGGCCAAACTACATTCTAGACTAACTGACTTTAGGCCTAACTATAACCACAGGTCTGACTATACCCTAAGTATGAACACACTCTAGGCCTAACTACACCACAGGTCCTAACTACACCCTAGGTCTAACTACACCCTCCCCAGTCTAAGAATACCACAGGTCTAACTATGCAAAAAGGCAGCTTAATAAAATTAAGGAAAATGAACTAAAGGAGAATAAACCCCTGAGTGATGCTGAAGAACAGAGCAACATGCAGGTGATTAGAATGATAAAGACATTCTAGGACTTGAGAATATAATTCAATAAGGAGATGGAAATACTGAAGAGAACTCAAGCTGAAATGAAGATGGAATTGCAAAGCACGATAATTCTCCTAGAAAACTCAAAGGAAAACCTTGTGAAGCAATCAGAAGATAGAATAGCAAGACTCAAAAATGACCTAGAGACTCTAGACCAAATAAGCAAGAAATATGAAAATTTTAAAAACCAAAATAGGAAGTGATCCACACTGGATATAAACTAAACCTTCAAATATACAGTGCATTCTGTTTCAATTGGCAGGTTTCTGGGAGTATTTCTCAATATACTGATAGAACTTTAGGCAGGGGATTATCTCTCTTGGAAGCTAAGAAAGGAGGTGATCAGTGTAGTTTATAGCTTGTGGCAATGGGTTCTAATGGAATGGCCCAGAGGGAGAGGCACTTTCACAGTATACAGGATGCCAAAGACTCAGGGTACAGATTATAGCCTACACATCGGCCCTGTGGAGCAGCTCTCCTGGGGACCCACAAGCAGAACTACCAGAACAGAAAGACTAATGGATGTCCTCCTGGGATGACATCATGAGGAGATATAAATCCTACCAAATGTCTCTCAAAGGGATTCATATTTTCTTTGCTGAACGTGGCTTTAGATTGGATTATGCCAGCACGTATTGGACAGCGTCAGCTCTGCACTCTTCACATTCATTACTGCAGCCAACCGTGCATAGCCCTGCTGGGTGTTCCACCTCCATTACCCTCCCTATCGTCAGTATCATTTTAAATAAGGTTTCCTAGAAACAGGCTCTGCAAGGGAAAATTGCATGCTTCAGGCTTCTCTGGGATTTCTCTCTGGAGATGTACCTGTGAGGGGTGAGGGAGACAGAACTGAACAGACAGCAAAGCCTACTTGCCATGTGATTGTCACTGGAAAACTCCTTCAAAGGATTCTGGGTTGGGGTATCTATGAAGCTCTCCTAAGCTTTGGTGCTTCTGTTGGCACAGTAGCTGCTAATTGATTAGGGTTACCCCAAGGAAGAGACATAACTTTGAGGGAATTGATATCTTACTTTGGATAATAGCTCAGTAATGAGCAATAAAGAGCTCCCCCCACACAATTCTCAGCAACTGATCCAACTAGAGGGTTGGTGCTGACAATATGATCTTGTCCATTGAAATCATCATCATATCTTTTAGCAAGGGGTTCATTAAAAAAATGGCTGGGAATATGGCTCCATGATGAGCATTTGCCTGTCATGTGAAAGTCCCTGAGTTCTAACCTGAGTACTGGTTTTTTTTGTTTGTGTTTTGTTTTTTAAAGGAGACAATATAATAGAAGGCTCCAACTCAAGAAAATAGCTGTCCTACTGGCAGGATGGTAGAACTATTTTGTGTTCGATGAACCAGAGCACCTACTGTGTGTTAAACCTTATACCATATGCCATAGATAGAAATAACAAGGTGTATAAGAACCCTCTACCTATGGAGTGTTGATGTCATAGGCTGGTTCAAGTCAATTACATTATATTATTATGGGTAACAACAGAGAACACAACTAACAAGGTTTGTGAGTTTCTTTTCCTTTTGTAAATATCAAGTTTTATTGCTCACAAGAGAATACCAAAGTGAGCAAGTCTGTTTTATGCATTGGGTTTACAGCTAAATAGAAATTTCTATACCAGCATGATGGCAAGCCTCTACCTCTGCCATCTAATTAAGACTTTTTTGGTGTAATTTGGGTTTCATCAATGTCTGTTTTAAGATGATTGGCATCTTTTTAAAAGTAGACAGGTTTACAGATGGAATCAAACCAGCTATCTAACACACATTTCACATATGCGACTATTAAGGCAGAAAGTGCCTCCTGCCCGAAGAGAAACAGAGCTACCTGTTCTGGGGAATAAGAACTGTGCACCCATGAGGTTGAGAGTTATTCATAGGCTTTGGTTTTATCGCCTCTGTCTTTTCAGAAAAGTGTTTCCCAAGATGTCTATCTGCAGATGTAACATGGCTGTTCATTGTCCAGATGCAGATTGTTCATAGGATTCTGGTAAATAGAAGGTGAGTGTGTGTGCATGTACCTGACCCTAAAAGGGAAACTCCCCTTTGTCCTATTTGAATTGTTTTTGCATGGTATAGGAAAGTGTGCCTTCACTGCACTCTGGTGCACTTTTTCCACGATTAAGTAAATATCCACTCCCACATACGGATAGAAGGAATCTTAGCACCCAGAAATAGGGAATATAAAGATTCAGCTATCTCTTCTCTTAGTGGGTAGAAGATGATATCAGAGATTTGGAGATCCAGGGGAAGTTGTCAAGGGTGGGATCTTATCCATACCTAGTGATGGGGGATGCCCTACTGTGTGTATGTTTCTCTTATTGGTTGGTGAATGAAACACTGATTGTCCAATAGCCAGACAGGAAGTACAGGCAAGGTTATGAGATGAGGAGAATTCTAGAAAGAGGAAGTAGAGAGAGGCGGCCAGGATGAGACATCATGTAGAGACCTGGAAGATAAGATACACCAGGCATTCTCTGGTAAGATAAGACCATGTAGAAATACATAGATTAGTAGTTATAGGTTAATAACTAAGAGAGAGCTAGTCACTAAGAAGCCCTAGCCATCTAATATAGCTTCCATGTGTTTATTTGGGCAAAACGGTGGTGGGACAGAAACCGCCGTCTTCAGCCCAGTGGGAAGTACGGCTTCAGAGGGCAGACTCCATTCAAATGACAACCCATAAATTTGTAACTATGAAGTCCACCCATAAGTTGTCCATCTGCTCACTGGACAGTTCCCTTGACACAGACAATGGAATATCCTTGCCTTTGGGACTCCTGCCCACTCCTTCAGCAAGTTTGAATGCTATAGTATATACCAGGCTTAGCTCAGGTTACAAAAGCAAAGTGCCATAAGCAGGGTAAAATAAATTAACTTCCTACAGTGGTAAAAGCTATTAGTCTTAGATAAATATGCAGCCTGATATGGGTCCTGGTGTGGAAATCTCAAACATGAACAGGGAGGGAGAGACTTTCCTTAAATTTCTTTTTGCCTTCTTTTTTTGTTTTGCTTTTTTTATTATCATTTTTATTTTAATTTTAAATAGCTTGTTTTACATGTCAATCCCAGTTCCCTCTCCCTCCCCTCCTCCCACACTCCCTTTCCCCCCCAGCCTCCCACCCTATTGCCAATTCCTTCCACATAGGGGATATCTAGAATCTATCATTTCACTCCGGGTAGGGTCCAGGCATTCCCCTAAAAGTCCAGGCTGAGAGAGCATCCCTCTTTGTGCTATGGGCACACGATGACTGTTTGTATTCCAGGGATAGACACTGATCCACTGCTCAAGGCCCCATAGGTTGCCCAGGCCTTCTCACTGACACTCACATTTGGGGGGATCCAGATCAGTCCCCTGTTAGCCTCCCCGCTGTCAGTCTGGGGTCCAAGAGCTCTCCCCTGTTCAGATCAGCTGTCTCTCCTGGTTTCACTAATTCTATGGGATGAGAGTTGTATGTCATTTTCTTTTATTTTTGACTATTTCCAGATAGGTCCTACTTCCAGTTACATTGAGGAGTAAGCTTCAACATGTCAATTTGGGGGTATGTAATTCAATCCATCTCAGAAGCACTAGGTAATTATCTAAAAGGGAAGGAGAAAAGTGGTTTGGGGTGTGGGGGTTATGTATACATATGTGTGTATATGTGTGTGTGTGTTTATGTGTGTAAGTCAGAGGTCTTCCTCAGTGACTTTCCCTTCCTATTTTTTGAGACAGTTTTTTCTCCTACTGAACTTGGAGCTCATTGACTGGCTAAATTGGCTGTGCAGTAAATTCCAGAATTTTTCTATCTCTCCACTGGAATTACAAGTACATTTATGTAAATGGGTGCTAGCAATCTGAATGTATACTTACTCTTCAAGCACTCTATTCACTGAGTCATCTCCTCAGGCCCATCAGAGGAATATTCATAACAGGACTCAAGCTTAGCACCCATCCCCCTTTATTTTCTAACCCAACAACCTATTAGAATGCTCACACATTCCTCAATAACACCAATCACTGTTTCAAAGGTGTCAATGAACTTGAAGTTGACTCCCATAGGCATCTTCCAATAATTGCAGATTTTACCAACAGTAAAACCAGTCTGGCCATGAGTCATTGTTCTCTGTGGGTCAGAGGATAAGACAATCCTCTCAGGCACAGTGGTCATCACAAACACAGGTCTCGAGCCAGTTGCATGAATTCGCCATCATCATTCCTATTGTCACATTACTAACGGGCTGCCTTTGGACCACTATTGTCAGACAAGGGTCTTCACACAGTTTCAGAGCCTGGAAGGGTGGTGTAGCTTCTTGGTGAGACACAACCGGGTAAATTTCCATTATTGTACATAAATTACAGGTCAACAAATCACATCTTAGGATGTTTTAAAGCACAGCTAGTATATGCTCACTACCATCAGAACTCAGTTCACAGCAATAGTGCCTGAATTCATCACTTACAGTTCTGCAGCTGCGACTTTGATGCGTAGGATACTTCTATTCCCCACCCTACACTGACTCAGAAATCCTAGATAAGGCAGCAAGTGGAATCCAAGCTGAACAGAAAGTTCTGGAAGTGTTTCTGTTGGGTCACAATGGAGTCCTGATATCCTTAGAGACTGAGCTTTGATGACTCCAGTCCCAGGACGGGTGAAGGCCAGCCAGTAACTGAAGATCTCAGGCCCTGAAGCATTATTTCAACTGAAGAAGAGCATTTCCTAATCACCATACCCAAGTGCTGCAAAGCCATCTCATTTCCCATCTAGTGAAGTCTTATAACAGTTGCCAAGAACCTATCCATTGTCCTTCATCCTCAGACTACATTTTCTAGTTGGTGAGGTCCACCTCAGGCCTTTGTCTGACCTCACGTGGGGCTTAAATATAAACCAGGGAAGATTATTATCACCCTGCAAAATAAAATCTGTGCATGGGACCCTTGGGTTGCATATCTTCCAGAGTATATCATCACACAAGTCCATTCTTATTTCTGTTCTGATACTATCAGTGTTCACTCCCACATGGATGGATGGAAAAGGACTGCAGTCATTAACAAGGTAATAATCAACTAAAACAAACAACCTTGAGGCTTGGGGTAATGCAACAAAACACAGTTCCAAAGAAGGTTAATATATTTTTCTTGTGCATCAACATCTAATGGGATTTGGTGGGAGGAGCCCCAGGAGACAGTGCTGTCTCTCAGGTGCCAAGACTCATTTTATCTTTTGACTCCTCCCTCTTCTGGGTCCTCAGAGTTCTTTTCCACTGGGAGTACAATGAAGAAAGAACAATAAGGGAACTGAAATGTCATGGGTCATTATAAGAGAGTGCAGTTAAGAAGCAACTAAGCACTGCAGAATGGTAAGTTCCCTAGGCAAAAGGAAACCTAGACACTATGTGTCACCATGGTCTCCCAGCACCATCACCCAACAGCATCCAAGGACAAAATTCAGAAGTCTAAAGCGTCTCCTTGTTTATCTCTTATTGTATAGAAGCATCACTGAACTGTTTTTGTTTATTTGCTATTGAGCTACTGATAATTGCACAACTCCAGGGAGAGAGGGAGTCTGGTATTTATTTTTTAAGAGATGGGTTCTGCCAGCCAAAGAGGATAGAGCAAACAATAGATCCATTACATCAATGCCAAGTCAGTGGCTTAGAATACAGTGCTCTATCCCAGGTAAAAAGAAGACATAAAATGATGGAGTGGAGTTCTTGTCACTTTCCCCTTCTCCAGGGGACTGTTTGTCTCTCTTAGAGTCCTCCATGTTTCTTAGCTTCTCTGGAAGTGTGGATTATAGGCTGGTAATGTTTTGCTCTATGTCTAATATCCATATATGAGTGAATACATGCCATGTTTGTCTTTCTGTGACTGGGTTACCTCACTCAGGATGGTTTCTTCTTGTTCCATGCATTTGCCTGTGAATTTCAAGATTTCATTCTTTTTTTTTCTGCTGACTAGTACTCCATTGTGTAAATGTACCACATTTTCTTTATTCATTCTTTGGTTGAGGGACATCTAGGTTCCTTCCAGGTTCTGACTATTACAAATAATGCTGCTATGAACATAGTTGAACAGATGTCTTTGTTGTTTGAATGTGCACTCTTTGGGTATATGCCTAAGAGTGGAATTTCTGGATCTTGAGGTAGACTGATTCCCAAACTGGAAGGGGGAGAAGAGAGGGCAGGAGGAGAAAAAGGAGGGGAGGAGGGGAGAGAATATCATGAGGGATCAGGAAGATTGAATGGGGGGATGAATAGAGGAGAGCAACAAAAGAGATATCTTAATAGAAGGAGCCATTATAGGTTCAAAGAGAAATCGGGCACTAGGGAAATACCCAGAAATCCACAAGGATGACCCCAACTAAGAATTTAAGCAATAGAGGAGGGGCTACCTTAAACGCCCTTCCCCAATAATGAGATTGATAACTACTTTAAATGCCATCCAGTAGCTGATGGAAGCAGAAGCACTGAGCCCTGAGCCCACCTCCAGGAATCCAGTTGTATAGATGGAGGAGGGATGAGCAAAGGGGTCAAGATAATGCTGGGGAGACCCACAGAAACAGCTGACCTGAGAAAGTGGGAGCTCATGGACCCCAGCCAGACAGCTGGGGAAACAGCATAGGACCGAAACAGGCCTCCTGAACTTGGGTGAGAGTTAGGAGATTTGGCCAATCTATGAGACCTCTTGCAGTGGAACCAGTATTTATGCCTAGTGCACGATGGACTTTGAGATCCCTTTCCTCCATGGAGGGATACTCTCTCAATCTAAATACACGTGGGAGGGCTTAGGCCCTGCCCCAAATGATGTGGCAGACTTTGATGATCCACAGGAAGTCACCACTCTCCCTGTGGCTAGAATAGGGAGTGGGGGCACATTGGAGAGGGAACTGGAATTGATATGTAAAATAAGATTATTTCTAATCTTTTTTTTTTTTTTTTTTTTTTTTTTTGGTTTTTGACAGGGTTTTCTCTGTGACTTTGGAAGTTGTCCTGGAACTAGCTCTTGTAGACCAGGCTGGTCTCAAAACTCATGGAGATACGCTTGCCTCTGCCTCCTGAATCCTGGGATTAAAGGCATGTGCCACCACTGCCCAGCTTGTTTCTAATCTAAATAAAAAATATCAAATGGGAAAAAAGATGGAATAGATGGGGGAATAGGATGTACGGGAATGGAAGGACAAGAGGGAGAACTGGGGTTGGTATGTAAAATATGATTTTTTTATTTAAATTTAAAAATTATTAAAAAAAGATGGTGTCAATGATCCAGTCAAGGTCAACACTGAACCCAGTCCTAAAAGGGACTTGTGTAGAAGCATAACCAGGTGCCTGACCTGTTAGCTGCAACTTGCTTCTCACAGAGATGCCCTGTGATAAGGTTCATACCTCATCTATCTCCCAGAAGAACAGCCAAGGTATAGGATTGTGGGAGCTGGAGAGTCAGAGTCAGGGTGACAGGTCCAGAACCTGTTTGTTTTTTTCTTAATGTTTATGTGGATATGTGTATAACATATGTGGTGCACACACATACTAATGTGCAGGTATATGTGGAGGCCAGAAATCAGTGTTAATTATGTTCATCTATGGCTCTTTTAAGACAAGTTCTCTTACCAAACTCAGAGAACACTGATTGATTCTGACCTTCCTGGACAAGAACTTGCAAAAATTCAACTTTCTTTGGTCAATCAGCACTGTGCTTATAGAGCGGGTCATCTTGCTGGGCTTTTTACATGGAAGATGGATGGCACTTCTTTAATGCCTCTTGATCTTTGCAGAAGCTCACTAGAGACATATCATCCATTTCACCATTTGCATATGAATTCAGAGGTTACAGAGCTACTGGAGTCCCACAGCAGTCATGCTGGCATTCACACCTGCTCTGCCTGCCTGCTGGGGCCACACTCCTCACTGCTTCCCTAGGAGAAGGAGGCATCTCCAGCAAGCATGCTATTATGTCTGACAACTGGGATGAGTCTGCAGTAGGCTTTGCCTGGCAACACCCAAGATTGCTCCCAAACGGTGTTCTCCTAGCTTTGTCTGGGGAAACCTAATTGCTGCAATTGTGTTATAAAATTATCACTTTACCCATGCAAATGGGCCAGAGTGGGCTGGTTGTCTATTCCTGTGGTTGTCCCAGATTATTAAATGAGCAGCTGGTTCCAAACACGTTTGCAGCAGGCTAATTCAATGGCTGCGTGCACTTGCATATTCATGGCTCCTAGCTCCCAGCCCAGGCTTGCAGGACCACTCCAAAGGGGCTCTAAAAGTTAATTTATCTTGACAATTTAAACAAATATACTTCGCGGGCTTTAGTGACTCCACCAAATTTCAGTGAGTATCTTGGCAGGAAGAGGGAGTCAGGGATGGGTGGGTACGGGTGATATTTGCTCTGGGCCTCAGGTTCATGTGCAGCAGGAGGAAGATACCACAGAGACTGTGGCAGGCATGGGACCCCCTCATGGGTTAGCCTGCTCCAATTTGCTGATTTCAAATTTTGTGATCTTGGGCAAGCTACTTTTATATTTTATTTTATTAACATAGGGACACTTAATATGAGATTTATTCTCTTCATGAATAAGTGTGCAAGGCATTACTGTTGACTGTCCCGCAATAGCTTCCTAGAACTGACTCTTCCTAATTGGAAACTCTGCTGCTTGATTGGCATTCTCCTGCCAACCTGCTTGCCCTTGGCACCGCATCTTCAGTTCATTTGACCATTTGAAGATCTTAGAAATCATGCAGTGTTTCCATTCCTGTGAGAGGGTTATCTCATTTATCCTAAAGTGTTCAGGGTCTGTCTATGCTGTTTCATATTGCAGGCCTTCCTTCTTCTTGAAGGCTGACTAGTATTCCATCCCACACATCTGTCTCGTTTCCTTAACCCAGCCATACATTGCTGTGAGTGGCTATTTCCGTGTTTGGCCATGATGGATCGCTGCAGCGAGCACTGGAGCAGAGACGGCTCCCTGAAGCTTGACTTCTTTTTTTCAGGAAATTTCACAAAAGTAGAAATGATAGGCTATATGGTCATCCATTTTTACCACTTTGGGACGTCTCCAGGCTGTTTTCTGTAAAGGACACCTCATGTTGGGTGCTTGAGCGAGCACTAGCTCCCTTGGTGTTTCTTACCTATGAAGCAAGACATTTCGCTCTGCACGATTGCATGAAGAATGGTGCATTCCAAGTACTCTCGTTCTTGTGTTCTCAGCATGCATGTGTACGTCTAGGGATCCTACCTGCTGAATGTTTTCTCCCTTTACTTCGACCCTGTTCTATTTTTAACCTGCATATTACTTCTAAATGACCATATTAATAGCACTTGCTAATTCACAAGAGCATTGCCCCTTTCTAAATCACATTAAAATACTTTAAAAAACAGAAGCAAATCCTCCCTCGTTGGTGCATGGACTTGGGATGGCCCACTCAGTGGCGGTAAAGTCACACAAGTAAACCAGGAGACATGAAAAACCTGGCTTTGTCCTTTTCTCCTATATAGGTAACAAATGCCTAATCTGGAGTGTCCTGTTCAGCCTGGTCACCATAATCCACGCGAATCACCTATCAGGAAGTGTCCGTGCGGCTGCCTTGTGTTCCTCTGCAGACCATCACGGTGTTAATACAGAGATCCTGGAGCCTAGCAGGGCCTAACACTAGCAAAGAAATCCTTTGCAGCTATCTAACCTGACTGCACTTCAGTTTCCTCATCTGCAGGGTGGGGCTGATGTTAACTGTGTATCTTTGTGCACACATTTCCCTTCAAACTGCTTTCTCTGGTACATAGATGAGATCCGTTCTAAATGCTTAGACAACCAGGGTGTGATGTCACTTCTCTCTCCCTCCTTCCCTACCCTTCCTTCCTTCTACCCCTCCTATCTTTTCATTCCCCTCCCTTCCTTGTCCCTTTATTTCCTTCTTCCTTGGTTCCTTCCCACCGCTCTCCCTCTCTACACCTTCTCCCATGTCTTTTCCTCCCCCAATTATTTGTCTTTCTTTCCTCTCTCCATTCTGTCTTTCCTTCATTCCTCCCCTGTCTCCTTTCCTCTCTCCTCCTCCTTTCTCCTCTTCTCCTGTGTCTCTTTCCCTACCTGTCTTCCTCTTGTATTCCCACAGGACTTCTCTGCCCCTGGCACTTGTAAGGACACTTTGCTATAGGTGGTAGATTTACTTTCCTATTTCTTAGCTGAAAATGAAGAGGCTGAAGAAAACCCATGATTTTTCTAGGTTTGTACAGTCCAGTACATTGACAAGTTGTCATGTTTTCCCTACAAAAGAACATTGAAAGTAACATACATGTGAAAACTATGACAGATCCCTTATGCACCACGTAATCCAGCCTCAGAACATGCCGCACTCTTAGAGAAGTTCTGGGATGATGTTTTTTTTTTTTTCCTTTTTTTTTTTAATTTTATTTTCCAGTTTAAATTTAGATAAGAATCAAGGTTGCTTCACAAGTCAGTTCCAGGTCCCTCTCCCTTTCCCTCCCTTCCTCCCGTGCCCTCCCCTCCCCCCCCCCCCGTTATCCTCTCATTTCTCCAGGGAGGGTGAGGCCCTCCATGGGGGTGTCCATAGTGTGTCATTTCATATAGGGCAGGGCCTAGACCCTTTCCCAAGAGTTCTGGGTGAGAGTGCACCTCACATTGTTCTATTGGAGTCCAAAGTCCGTGTGTATACTTGGGATGGGTACTGATCTGCTGCCCAAGGCTCAATAGATTCCCTAGGCCTCTTCACTGACACCCAGATTCAGGGGGTCTTGATCAGTCCCATGCTGGCTTCCCAGGCTAATGCCTGGGATTCAAGAGTTAACCTTTGTCTGGTCAGCTGTTTCTGGGGGTTAAACCAGCCCAGTCTTAAACCCTTTGATCATCAGTCCTCCCTCTCTGTTACTGGCTTTCTTGAGTTCAGCTCAGTACTTAACCAAGGGAGTCTGCCACTTCTTCGATCAGCCACTAAATAAAGTTTCTGTTTCCCAGACTCTCTGGCCATAGGATTGTAGGCTGGCACTCCCCAGATCTATGTCTAAAATCCATATATGAGAGAGTACATGCCATGTTTCTCTTTTTGTGACTGGGTTACCTCACTCAGGATGGTTTCTTCTAGTGTCATCCATTTGCCTGCGAATCTCATGATTCCATTATTTTTTCTGCTGAATAGTACTCCATTGTGTAGATGTACCACATTTTCTCTATCCACTCTTCAGGTGAGGGACATCTAGGTTGCTTCCACGTTCTGGCAATTACAAATAAAGCTGCTATGAACATAGTGGAACAGACCTCTTTGTTGTATGAATGGGCATCTTTTGGATATATGCCTAAGAGTGGAGTTGCTGGGTCTTGTGGTAGGTTTATTCCCATTTTTCTGAGGAATCTCCATACTGATTTCCAAAGTGGCTGAACCAGTTGGCACTCCCACCAGCAATGGAGGAGTGTCCCCCTTTCACCACATCCTCTCCAGCATAAATTGTCATTAGTGTTTTTGATTTTAGCCATTCTGACAGGGGTGAGATGGTATCTGAGAGTTGTTTTGATTTGCATTTCCCGGATGGCTAAGGATGTTGAGCACTTTCTCAAGTGCCTCTCAGCCATTTTAGACTCCTCTATTGAAAACTCTCTATTTAGTTCTGCAGCCCACTTTTTAATAGGGTCCTTTGGTGTTTTGGAGACTTGCTTCTTGAGTTCTTTGTAAATTTTGGAGATCAACCCTCTGTCAGATGTGGGATTAGTGAATATTTTTCCCATTCTGTGGGCTGCCTTTTTGTCTTGCTGACTGTGTCCTTTGCCTTACAGAAGCTTCTCAGTTTCAGTAGGTCCCATTTATTAATTGTTGATCTTACTGCCTGTGCTACTGGTGTTATGTTCAGGAAGCTGTCTCCTGTACCAATTCGTTCAAGGGTACCACCCACTTTCTCTTCTAAGAGGTTCAGTGTGGCTGGATTTATGTTGAGGTCTTTGATCCATTTGGACTTAAGTTTTGTGCATGGCGATAGACATGGATCGATCTGCATTCTTC